AATAACTGAATTTTTTCTAGAAAATCAAAGACATTTCTGAATCTGAAGACAAAAAGTTCTAGAAAAAATTAAGTTAATCACTGAAATTTTCTAGGAAAGCAAAATATTCAAAGCTTGACAAGTTAAAACAAATCTAGAAATAATGTTACATTTTGAAATGTTCTAGAAAAAAAATAGAAATTTAACTAGAAAGTCACCAGAATCTTTAGCTAAATTTCAAATTTGTTTGTTCTGTTTGTTTTGTAAATTTTACTGTACTTCATAATAAAGTTACTCAAGTAAATGTAATTGAGTAAATAAATGTAAGCAGTTACTACCCAACTCTGGCTTCAAATGCTTCAAAATATTTACCTCTGTATCAGCAGGGCGTGTTTATCAAGAAATTAACTGGGATTATTTCTACAGAAATAGATGAAAATATTAAAGGGTAAATAAAATATTAAGCTGAGTGAGTTCAAAAGGTGTTTTCCTGGATATCCAGGAAATGTAATTTTTGTGTGATATTTGAGATGATGACGAACGACTGGTCTGAGTCAGGCTGCAGGAATCCGTGTGGGATTATCTCCCTAAAGTAAAAATCAACCTGATGGCTCATCTTGTTTACACTCCCTCATGTTTCGGTGACGTGAGAAGAAATCAAAACTCCCGTGTTGAAACCCGAGATGTTTCTGTGCAGTTTGGTCCAGCCTTTCCTCATAAACACCAGGAATAAAAAGCTAAAACATCAAACAGTGTCAGATCACGCAGCAGTTTTTCTCTAATCAAAAGCTGTTCTAGTGCAGGATGCATCATCTTCATCCCATAAAAACATGTGAGCAGATTTATACATCCAAAACAGACAAGGACGTGTCTACATATTTGCGTTAAGGGGGGCAAGAACTGTAGAAAGGTAGCATGTAGCCATCATGCTAATGTTAGCCTGATATACATTTTAGCTAATTTTTGGTCTATCGTATGTGTTTAGCATGGAGCGAGTCAATGTTAGTCCACATGCTTCCTACATGCTACTGACTAAAATAGCTAATGTAGCTACTTCAGCGTTTACACTAATGTTTGTATACTGAATGGAGTCAATGCTATTGAATGCATTTTAGCTAACTTTAGCATTTGTTACCAATTTTCAACATCAGAGTCGAGTCCAAACATTATCAAACAACAAAAGGATCTTAACACCAAGAACAAACTGACAGCTCTAGTGCGAGTGACCAATCAGATTTAATTTCCTTCACTCAGAGGATTCAAACCGGGCCCAAACGGTTCTGAACAATGTTGAACTACAGATATACGGAGAGGTTAGGAGCCTGCAACCCCGAACGAACCCCCAGGATAAACCCTTCAGCCTCGTCAAAATGAAAAACCCATTAAAACCCCGCAACGCTCCGTCGCCCCTCGCCAGCGCTGCGCTCTGCTGCGCGAAAGTCAGGGAGATAAAACAGAAACATTAAGCAGGGAAAACATCCTCCTCACCATCAAAGATCCGGGAGATGACGGACCACCGTGGGAAAACTGAACGATTCGAGGCTCGGCTTGTTTTCTGTTTCCACCCCGGCCTCGCAGGCATCTCCGTTTTTCCTGATAAACAGTCGGCAGGCGAACTCCGGCATCATGAAGACGTTTTTATTTTTCGGCTGCCGTCTCATAACGAGAGGGCTTTGAAGACAATGTGGTTAGAAATGATGGATATATCGCCTGTGGCTTTAATATCTTAGATATTTGGTGCAGCTGGTGTGTTAGATAATGAAGAAAAACAACAAAAAGATGGTGAGTACCTCTTGGTTTCCTTTTTTTGGCGAATTTCTTTGTTTGGACTGAACAGAGACGGAGACGCAAGTCAAATTTAAGTCACAAAAACGTCTGATTTGATTTAAACTCGTTCTCTAAACACATTATATGAACTCAACATCATTTCTCTAGAAAGTCCCGTTTGTTTCGGGAGGCATGAATTCGTAACACTGGCCGCCTCAAAAAAATCAGGAAGGTAACTATAGCGCAGGGCATCATGGGTAAATACAACCAAAACAAACGCGTAAATCTAGCACTAGACTGGAGAAATGACATCAATTTCACATCAGTTGGAAAGGCTAATAAACAGATTCATAAATACAAAAATGTCTACCAGTATATTAGTCAACTCAGTATGGAAAAATGTGTGTATGAACTCAAGATAACTAAAATGGTATGGTTAGCCTAAATGCTATCACTAGCCTATGGGATATCACTAAAATGTGTGTACTTGCATTGACTTACTCCAGGGGTGTCCAAAGTCGGTCCTCGAGGGCCGGCATCCTGCATGTTTTAGTTCTCTCCCTGGTGGTAGCAACAACCTTTTCAGCTTGTCAATGTTCCTCCTAGGTCTCTAACGAGCCATCATTTGATGCAGGTGCGTTAAACCAGGGAGAGAACTAAAACATGCAGGATGCCGGGCCTCCAGGACCCACTTTGGACACCCCTGATTACTCTATTTAGTAAGTCAATGTTAAAGGGAGTAGTAGCACTTAGCATTGACTTATGCTAATATATTAGCTCCATATTGCCTGATATGCAGCTCGTATGTACATTAATCTACATATTTACTACATTTGGCTTATATGCTTATTTTAGTTTAAAATATTTTAGCCTTAAACTAAAATAGGCTATAGTTATAAAACTATATTACATATAGTTTTATAAGTAATAAAACTAGCAAACCCACTGTAAAAAAAACAATTAAAACTTTATTAGACAAACAATAGTTACTATATGAAATAAAACTAAACTGCAATAAAAACTGTTATTATCCTGTTTGTTGTTTGTCCAGAACATCCCACAGATGTTCGATTGGACTGTGAACAAATGCAGAATGAGTTGATTCCCACACAAAGCCAAAAATCTGAGCATGCTAATCTAGCAGGCTAGGCCCAGAAGCTTAGCTGGCTGGCTAGCTGGTCGTTTGGCCGTCACAGCTATAATCTTGCTGACTCTGGCTGAGCAGAGAGCTTTGGTGATGAACTGATTTTCAGGTCTGCAGAGGTGGAAGAGAGATGGCAGCCTGCTGGGTTTGTGTCTCTGCCTGGCCGTGTTTTGGCAGGACGTTGTCCTGACTCACTGGCAGCAGAGCTGGTTGCACAGGCTAGCTGCCTGAACGTAGCGGCCAAAAAAACAAGAGTGACTCACTGGCTTAAGGATAATTTGGCCCTAAGCACAGATGGGGAACATGATCCTGTAATCAGTGTGTCCATATTACATCAGGGAGTGAGCTAACGTGGAGACAGCAGATCAAACTTGACTGCAAACACTGCAGCTCTGCGTTAGCTGTTAATGTTACTACAATATACAGAAACACTGTTATGAATCCCGCTTTACTTTCATACCAAATCCAAACAGACCTAAAGATTGTTGTCCTCTTGTAGGAGCAAAATACAAATATATAAAACTGTAAGAGCTGTAAGTATTTATCTATATCTGAAGATAACGTCAACTCTTTAAAATCTTATTAGCTTTTAGTTCAGGGGTGTCCAGACTTTTTTTTTTTTTGTTACGTGAGCCAACATCATCAACTCAGAGGTGCTGATAATCCAACATTTTATTTTTTTTAACTAAATCATAAAGTTTTATTGAGAATTTGGTTCCTGCTCAACAATAAACATAACATTTTATTTAAAACAAAGTGTATGATCTTTCTTTCTGTAGGAAGATACAAAACCTCAATAAGTTTCACATTTTCTTTATTTAAAGTTTAAATTTAAAGTTTTAATAGTTTTGTCCTAATTGAATAAAATAAGGTTTCCATCTGCATCAACACCTGAGCTGGTGAGACAAACCTGTATCATTCAGGGTCCATACAAAAACATCCGAGTGACCGCAAATGGCCCTCGCGCCACACTTTGGACACCCCTGGTTCAGTTTTATTGGAAAATTGAAATGAAAGGATCCCAGATACGAACTTTGGTACAGAATAAAAGAAAAAAGCGTAAATCAGTCTCTGAACACTGTGACCAATAAACACCAAAAGCAAGTTTTCCAGAGTTTTGGGTCAATTCATGAATAATTACCTACTTTATTATGTACATATAAATACCTTAATTATATTCTTCTGCACATTCAATTTAAACGCTGAAACATTCATTTTTTTAACATGTTCTGACATCAGAATAGTAAACAATCCAATATGGCGAATGAAACTGCAGATTGTAAAGTGTTAAGATGCTAACATGAATTATACATTTGAATTGGTGACTAGCTAAGTTTGCTTCAGACAGCAAACTTTATTAAATCCAACTAGTGTTAAAACAAAACCTGGTTGCCAGGGGTAACCGTCACTCACAGAAAAATTATACTTTCTAACGTCTTGTAGCAGCTAGCATTCGCTACAGGAAGGTTTTAGATTAATTAACTCAGCTGCTCTGGGACAACAGGAGGAACTTAGCTTAAGCTAAATCTGGTTCAAAGCATCTTTTTTTCATGTTTTTTTGCACATTGCTCCCGTTTTAAACTAGAGTGCTATCTCCAAACTAGGATCAGCTAGCTAGTGCTAGCTAGGAGTTAGCAACCATAACAAACCTATAAGTAATTTTTTATTATGTCCAGCTAAACAAAAGCTAAAGCTGCCATTTTTGAAAGTACTGTTATATTTTAAAACATCTGCGTTCTTTAGCATCATTTGGGCTAAAACTTGTTAGGATCGTTGCTAATGTCTTTGCTGCTGCCGGATTGCTTCCACATTAAGTTCCCATCTCCTTCAGGTGTATTAGGGACAGGCAACTTCTCACGCAAACACCTGTTTTTTTTTTTTTTTTAAATTTTACAAGAAAAGTATTAATTCTCATTAGTTATAATAACATATCAGTAATTAACAACAGGCTGTAATGAAAAATGCTCTACTACTGGAATATTATGTTATTAGAATCTGGACCATAAAAAGAGAGTAATAAGGCAGTAATAATCTGTAATAATTGGTAATAAATTGTAAAAAGACAGTAATAAGACGTTATTTTTCAAATTCACAAAGCACTCCCAGACAGCGTGTCCATAGGAAAAACATTTTATTGAAAAACATTTTCAGTTTGTAACAGACTGGTGGAATGTGTGTCATTTATCCTCTTCGAAATTAATTTAAAATTCCGAATTTCAAAATGTCTTTTCTTTTTTTCTTTTTTAATCTTCGTCACAATCTGGGCCATCTGACACTGCGAGGAACGAGGGAGCTGTAACCGTGACATGACGAAATAAAACGGGGCAGACGATAAACGATGCAAATATAATACTGTTACTTACAAACTGGACTGAAATAAAACCATCAACGGAACATAAGAGAGAGAGAGAGAGAGAGAAAAAAACAAACTAATTTAATAAATATTTATGGTACACACTTATGGCACAAATATGCAGCAGTCGGTTTGGCAACTTTTCTCTTTTTTTTCTTTTTTTTAAACCAAATTACCATGGAAACAGTGCAAAACGGGAGGAAGTGGGGAGGACACGGGCTTTCCATAGAGCGCTAGCTAAAATACATAGCAAAAAATTCAAATTTTATACAAAACATCTTACTTTAAGAGTTTATAAAAAATGTTTTTTATTGGGTTCTGGTCAATATTTACATAAGCTATTTACCAAAAAAGTAGTATGCTCTGTTTTACTGAAGTGTAATCCACTTTTTCTTTTTTTCATTTACTTTCCTACAAAGGTGAATAAGGCTATTGTAACAACCCAGGATCCATATACAATACAAACATTAATGTATTTACAGGTTCTTACCTACAGAAGTACGGTGCAAATTTACTGAGTCAAGTGACCAAGGGCTGACCATACGAGCAAGGCATTTTACAGTCGCCTGGGGTGCTTCCCCCAGGCCGCCGCCTGCAGGCCGCCGCGGCGCCGCTACAGCGTTTCAGGCGCCGCAGAGCTGCAGCCAAGCGGCGGCTGAGAAAAGGACGCCAGATTCAAAGAAACTAAGGAGATTGTCAGATTCTGCCGCAGACAGAAAGCAACTAAAAAGCCATTCTTCTGTTTGTGTTTGTGTCTTTTTTTTGTTTTTCGCTTTTCCTCCACCTCTAAATACCTGTCCAGGTTCTGTTACTGATGCTTTGTCATGGTTTCGTTTTTCACAGTTTGCACTACGGCACGTAGTCAACACTGCAAAAACACAAATGATTACGATTACTTTAGTCTAGATTCTACTGGAAACCTCCGAGTACGTTTGAAATGAGACAAAAATAACTTACAAATAACTTTTCTGCAAGAAATAGGAGCTTGTTTTAAGTAAACCTGAAACGATTAATCGAATAAGTTGTGATTAATCGATTGTTAAGACAATCAATTAATTGCTAACTGGAGCGTACAGATTCAAAAAAAGGCCATTTGCTGAAAGGATAAAACAGTCATTGCAGTTAAGTCTAAACTGTACAAAAAATATATACATTTAGCAATTAAAATGAAAAACCTTTATCTCTAAATACGTTCTACATAGAAATCAAATATTTTTTAGCTTCATCTGGTTTAAATTATGTAAAAAAAATCCTATTAAGCAACTTATGCTATTAAATTATTCATATAGTAAATAATCATCAGCATGTAATACTTTTTTAGCGGCAGATGCATCTTTTGCTACAAACAAACACCACCAAAGAAATGCTGCCTCTGCATTTTAGGCAACGCTATTTTTATTTTCTTAACTGGAAAAAGTAACTGAATTGTTTGCTTATTTCATTCCTTTTATGAATGTCTAGTATCATGTAAAAAAACAGGCTTAAGTGGTTTAATGAAAATGTGCAGAATGTACCAATCCGATTAATCGATTAATCATTCAGAATAATCGATTAATCACCAGAATAATCGATTAATCACCAGAATAATTCATTACTAAAATAATTGTAAGCTACAGCCCTAGTTTCAAGTCAAGAGTATTTTATTTATAGTAAGAAATTTTTCCCCAAGTGAAATAATCTGCTGGTGGATCTATTAATGTTTTCATCAATATCAATTATTGATTTAAAACAAGCTCCTGTATCTTGCTAAAATGTTCATTTTAAGTTAGTTTTGTCTTATTTCAATTGTTCTAAGATTTTGCACTAAAAACTTGACCAAAATATCCAGTAAGTTTTGTTGTTTTTGCAGTAAAAACAGAAAAAAAATGTCCAAAAAAAAAAACAATAAAAAAAATAAACAGACTCATTTTGTTATGTTGGTTTGTTGTTACATCTTTCAGTGGTTAAGAACACTTTTTTCTTTTAGAATTGATTAAAAAAATAAATAAGAATTGCATATTTGCAGATTTTGTAGCCTCTCAGAGGCACAAACCTCAGATAATACAAGGCTTGGCTTTTTCGGTGAAATTTGATGCTCATGAATCGATGGAGATGCGAACAATGGGCTGATAAATGCTCAGGGAGAGGCCTAAGTCACTGCTGAGATGCTGCGTGAAGTCACTGACACACACACACACACACGAACACACACATGCATGGGGAACATGGAGGGTGTGTATGAGGAGAATCGGGCACACTGGGAACTTTCCTTTGGGACAAACGGCTACTCTGCACCTTATTTTGGGTTGGGAAAACTCGCAGACGGAGCCGGGACCCGAACCATCCAGATATCAAATAATCAAAACCTAGATTGCATAATGTGCACTTATACCACTTATATATTAAAATTAGTTTCTTCCTCTCCACTCCGCCTGACAACACCTGTGCTCTGTGTCTATCATAAATAAATTTTATCATCTTATTTTTTTTCATCTTTTAATGTCCTTTTTTACTTTTTAAATGTACATATATTGGATGTAAAAAGAAAGAGAATTGAAAACTCACACAAAGGAAATGCTAATGGAGGCTGAAAACAGTGAAGGTTTAAGCTGATGTTCCTGTGCTTTACAGAAAAGAATAGGAGAGCACCGGCCAGGCTGAATTTTGGGCCCTTAGGGTACCCTTAGTCATCACCGGACCCCTGGGGGGTCCCGTTACAGTACCTAGAACTGCTTCGCTCTGACCTCTGACCTCTTACAGCAGTAAGGCGAACTGGATTTCTTATTGCCCCTGTGGCGGCCCCGACGGGTCACGGCCGCTCTCCCATCTCCGGACGTCACCGCGTCTCTCTCCGGCGGAGGAGAGTGGAGGGACGAGCGTAAAAAAGGAGGGGTCAAAAGTGCTGCGCTATGCAAGAGAAAAGTCCTCCACCTCCTCCTGTTTTCAACTGAGCTGCTGCCACGCGTGAGCTGCAATGACACATCGGGGAAGAAACGCTATCTGCACTCGAACTATTCCAGAGGATTACGGCGTCGCAGCAGGGCCGCTGCAGACGGGAAACAAAGTAAAGGAGGAGGAAACGTCTGCAAAAAATAAAAATAAAAAATCAGAAATTTCTACATTAATCTCAATGATTTTCTGAGCTAAAAATGTTGAAAATTTGAAAGAAGAAAACTCTGAAATTTTTTGGATTAATGTAAGAAATTTTCAAGAAATAACTTGGACAATTCCTGACTCCAAAAGTTTAAAATTTGTGAAAAAAAGCTCAGAAATTTTGAGAGTAATTTAAAAAAAAAACTTGAACATTTTGTGAGCTTGTAAAGATAGACATGGTCTAGAACATTTTGCAATTTTCTGACCTCATAAAGTCAAACATTTTGAGTTTCAGAAATTTTCTGAGCTTCGAGTCGAAAATTTTAAAATTTTCAAAGATTTGAACAGAAATGTCCAAATCTTTCTAGAAATTTTCTGACATTAATATTAAATTTTCTGAGATTTTTATAGGAATATTTCAACTTTCGTACTTCAGAAAATTCTGTTTTTTCTATACAATTTCTGAGATTATTCTCTTTCTCACAAAGTTACGACTGAGCTCAGAATATTTTAAGTCCTTTCTAGAAAATCTGAGATTAATTTCTTTTTATCGCAATATTTTGAATTTGGGAATTCTGAAATTTTTACGTTTTTTCCTAGAAAACTTCAGACATTAATGTTTGATTTTTTTTGGCAGAAATTTTCTCCTTTTTTTCTACCCATAGTGGCCCTGATACGCCGTCGTAAAAGTATAAAAAACAGATATGAACAAAACCAGTAAATGTGGAACTAAACAAAGAGACTCGATCTTTTTTTTTCTCTAAACCTTCAAGTAAAACGCAAAATAAAACCGAGCTGAGGATGAGGAGAGATGCTGTGATCGACAACACGTCACTTTGACCCGCGAGTCTGTTTCTGTGCACAGGTGAGTGTTTGTGTGATGGTAGTCATGTGGGTGGACAGGTGAGTGGGTGAAAGTCCCACAGAAGGTCCGGCGTGGGAATCTCTCTGCATCCCGCTGGTAAATCCGCTCAGCTGAGTTCAAGCTCCGCCCACTTCCTGCTTTTTCTCCCATCGTTAAAGTCTCTGTTTCCAAAACAGCAGTCTGTCTTTTCCTCACACTTTCAGAAACTTTCACATCCATAAATCCATCCATCCCACTCACTTAATCCCGGTGGACGAAAACGAAGAAGAGGCTGTCCGTTCCGCTTCCCGGCGAGCGACGGCGGCGGCTTCGCTACTCGTCCCCATCGTCTGCGCCGGCGGTGACCGAACCGGAGCGAAGGGCAAAAACTCAGAGAGGAAACGACTAGTGACGAAACATCAGAGGAGAGGAGGAGGAGGAGTCAACAGAGAGGAAGAGCGGGGCGGTTCGTTTCGCTCCGACCGGGGGCTCGTCCGGGTTCTGCGTTTTCGTTTTCCCGGCCCTCAGACCTTGTAGTAGATGTTGGCGGGGCTCTGCGGCGGCATCTCCTGAACGATGTAGACGGGGTGTCCGTAGTCCCCGCTCACCTTCTCGTAGTGCGGGCAGAAGACGCTGTCAGCAGTCCTGAGCGGGATGATGATGTCGCTGGGCTCAGAGCCGTTGTTGTTGCCGCCGCCGCCGCCGCGTTTGGGCGTGGCCAGCGTGCTGAGCGACAGCGTGGCCGTGTGCTGCGGCGAGTGCTTGCGGTGCCGCCGCCGGTACTTGAGCAGCAGCAGGACCAGCATGACGATGATGATGATGAAGATGACGCTGCCTGAGGCGATGCCCACAAAGATGGCCACCTCGGAGCCGATGGCGCTGGACGATTTCCCGCCGCCGGAGCCGCCGCCGTCTTCTGCTTTGGATTTATCTGGAGGAACAGAGAGAGAGAGCGGGTCAGAACCAACCAGAACTCTGGGACTGATCCAGAACAACAAGTCGAGCAACAAGGCTGTTCAAAGTGCGGCGCGGGGGCCATTTGTAGCCTTCTGAATGACTGGAGCGTGCCCCACAATCCTTGGAAAGCTAAATTTCTACAAAAAAAAAAACGCCTTTTAGAAAGAAATGTGGACATTTCTGAGTTTTAAAAGTCAAAAATTTGTATGAAAAAACTCAGAAATTTTGAGACTGATCAAAAATTTGCTAGGAAAAAAATTTCTGGGTTTCAACAGTTGAAAATAAGCTTTAGATTCATCTCAGAAATTTTCTAGAAAAAAACATTTCCCAAATTTGAAAAGTTCTAAAAGTTTTTTTTGTTTGTTTGTTTTTAATGGACTCCTTTACGATGGTAAAAACGCGCCGTCGTAGAACCTGAATGCAGGAAGGAGAAGGAAACAAAATTTCCTGCTCAGCTGATCTTGAATATTCCTGAAACTTTCCGTCCAAATCGATCATAAACGTTTCAGCCTTTGGTTTGTTGAACATGGATTAGACATCTCTCTGTTAGCAGAGCATTTGGGCCTCAGAACCACTCGGGGGCTTCGCTGTGGCGATGCTGCAGCGACGCTGTGGCGATGCTGCAGTGATGCTGCTGGCCCCGGGCAGAGCCACACGCTCCCAGCCTTCAGTGTTGGATCAGAACCAGAGCGTCCATCGCTGGGAGTCAGAGCACAGCTTGCCTTCCATAATTGATGTTTCATGACCGTATCAAATATTTCTATTTCTCTGCCCCTCTGGGGCCTTTAGCCAGAAAATCAAGTTAGTTTTTATGTCTTTCAAAACGCAATTTATCTGAGTGCAGCTTTCCGGGATCTCCGACCAGCCGCTGATTGCCCTACTTTCAAGGTTGAAGTCTTTGCTGAATTTGAATAGGAGCGGATAAGATGTAACTTTTTTAAACAAAAGCTAGAAGAGTTTCACTCCAAGCTGCTGCTCCGTTTTAAGCAACATGCAACAGGAAGCCAGAGCTGGGGGACTTCAAAATAAAAGATCTGACTCAGATTTATATGTGAGTTTTATGACGGAGTATTTATTGAGCTGCAGGTGCTTTTTGTTTAGTTACAAGAATAAAGTCATGATATTTGCAAAATCAGTGATTCTTGAGAATAGGGACAAAACAGGTCCTATGGATAAAGCAC